GTTGTGAAGATGTTTTAATTTCAATTATTTTTGGAAAAATTGTAATTAAAAGAGATTTTGATTAATTTTTTGGAAAGAACTTTTAATTAGATTTTTTGAAAATGGATTTTGATTAATTTTTTATGAAATTTTGATTAATTTTTTTCTTAAAGGACTTTCAATTAGTTTTTTGGAAAAAAGTAAAAACCTGCATATTCAGAAAGGAATCTAATAAATTATTTATTTTAAATTATTTTAATCATTATTATATTATCTAGGTGCTTCTTATAAAATCATAGTTCTTAATCACAAAAAGTGAGCTGATTCAGAAAGTGTCACTTTCAACTTTCACATAAAAAAAATATTTGATTATAGTATTGAAGATGAAATCTATAAGTTTTTCTTTCTTATATAACAAATGTTCACTAAGAAGACTTACGCAATTATAAATAAATTGGTGAAGGATAAAAGTGCACCAGAACTTATTTCACTCAATTGTGATTGTTTGTTTCATAATCAATACATATTATCATGCAAGCATATCTTTCATGAACATATGTATAATATCATCAAGCTGTTAATAGCTAATGCTTGAAGGATGTTTCAAGAATTATTCAAGGAAAGTGACTTTGAGGTGTATGAATATAGGGAATTGGTAATAATAGAAATGTCTAAACAAACTAAAGAAGAAAAATGGCAGAAAATCAGTGACTTGCAGTGTATGAATTAATAGAGATATTATATAATAAGTATTGAAAAGTCGAAGGGGTGATGCTAAGCAAGCAAAGGCATTTATTTCTGAATTGGAAATTTCTTTAAATCCAATTATTAGTGAACCATATGCAATTAATTAATTATTTTTTATTGTGATTATTTTGCATATTAATTATTATGATTAAATTTTATTTATTTTTTAAAAAACTTTGCTTTACAACAATGATGCTTTACAATAATGCTTTAATATAATGATGCTTTATAATTAATACATTTTAAATCATTATCACCTGCTCTGAATAATATTAAAGCTTTGATTTAGCGAATAAAAAATACTAATCGAAATCCCTTTCTTCCAAAAAAAAACTAATCAAAATTCTTTCTAAAAAACTGACCAAAAGTTCTCAAAAAATTAAAAGTTCTAAAAAAATAAATCAAAACCCTTACCAATTAATTCATGTTTTTTTAGCTCATTATTATAGAAATGTTTTCAGAAATTAAACTGAGTCCATACATGCGAAATCAAAGACCACCAATCATTATTGAATTCTTCATCTGGAACTTCAAATGCACTTTGTACATCAAAAGAAGAGCCCGTTTTTCATCTGGAAAGTACTTATTGACAAAAATGCTACGTCAAGACGGTGATAATAGTGATGGCGAAATGTTGATGAAGAAGATATTAAAGATATTGAAGTGATGACGGATGAGGTGTGATGGTGGTGATTAATAGTAGGAAAAAAAATCAATATAATTTCTAAAAAAATATTCATAGAACTAATTGTCACTACACACATTTAGTTAGAAAATAGAACCTTTGTACCATTAATTACCAGAGAATTTCCATACACCAGACTCTCCCCAACAGACCCGTCTAATTTAAAGTCGACTTGAGAAAGAAAAGCCTGAAAATGCTAATATATATTATCATATCGCAATAAAATTTGTTCGTGGTGTCACAATCTTAATCGTTCCAGAACGTGATTTTTCCCATGTTTCAGAACATAAATAAGATATAAACACATTTTTTTTTCTTTCTCATAACCTGACAACATGAACCAACACGAAATGGAACTGGCTAATTTTTTTGCTCAATACATGAGAGACCACCCTGAAGCTGATGGGCCCGAAGTATTACAAAAGTACTATGAGTCAAAGCAAGGTAAGCAAGCAATCAATGAATGTTTATTGTGAGGATGTTTGAATACAACAGGAAATGCTCATTTGCCAGAAACCCAGTTGCGTGGTGGAGTCGAGGTGCAGAAATCTAACGAAAATTATACTGTATTAAAGAGCGCATTTAA